ATTTTTAGATCTAAGTCTTTTATCCATCTTGAGTTAATTTTTGTGAGAGGTAGGGGTCCTGTTTCATTCTTTGCATGTGGCTATCTAATTATCCCAGCACCATTTAAAAGAAAACTACATACCAAAATCCCTTATGAATATAGATGAACAAATTCTCAATAACAATATTGGCAAGCAAAATTCAACAGCCCATCAAAAAAATAATCCACCAGAACCAAGTGGGCTTCATCTGAGGGATGCAAGATCGGTTCAACATAGGTAAATCAGTGCATGTGATTCACCACATGAAAAAAGGCAAAAACACAGACCATATGATCATCTCAATACATGCAGAAAAAGCATTTGACAAAATCCAGCACCCTTTCATGATAATAACCCTCAACAAACTAGGCATAGAAAGACTCTCTCAGAATTCTACCAGCTATATATGACAAATCCATAGCCAACATCATCTTGAAGGGGAAGAGTTGAAAGCATCCCCTTAAGAACTAGAATAAGACAAAGATGCCCACTGTCACCACTTGTATTCAACGTAGTGCTGGAAGTTTTAGGCAGAGCAATCAGGCCAGAGAAGAATATTAAGGGTATCCAAATTGGGAAAGAGGATGTCAAACTATTGCTCTTCACTGATGATATGATCTTGTATCTAGAATACCCCAAAGATCCCACCAAGAGTCTGTTGGAATTGGTAAATAAATTCAACAAAATCCCAGGATACGAATTCAATGTACACAAATCGGTGGCATTTCTATATATTATACTAATAACAGTCAAGCTGAGAGTCAAATTCAAGGGCTCAATACCATTCACAATAGCCAGAAAGAAAATAAAGTATCTAGGGATAAGCTTAATCAACAAGGTGAAAGATCTCTACCAGAAGAATGATGAAACTCTGAGGAAAGAAATTGCAGCGGATACAAACAAATGGAAAAACATATCATGCTCATGGATAGGTAGAATCAACATTGTTAAAATGTCCATACTACCCAAAGTGATTTACAGATTCAATGCAATCCCCATCAAGTGCCAAAGTCATATTTCAGAGATCTAGAAAAAATAATTCTATGCTTCATTTGGAACCAGAAAAGAGTACAAATAGCCAAAGTGATATTAAACATAAAGAAGAAATCTGTAGGGATCACATTACCAGAGTTCAGAGTATACTGCAAGGCTATAGTAACCAAACAGCATAGTATCAGTACAAAAATAGACACATAGGCCACTGGAATAGAACACACAACCCAGATATAAAATCATCTACCTATAACCAACTGATTGTGGACAAAGCAGACAACAACATACATTGGGGAAAAGAAGCCCTGGACATGATTATTTACTATAAAATCCCAAGAAAATGCAAAAATACTTTACTAGAACT